TCCTCCCGCCCCCTCACCTCCCGCACCTCCCGCCCGCATCCGATCGGTGCGTGGGTCTCCGCGTAGGTCGCGGGACGCACGAAGCTCCGGGATCGCCCGGGAATAACACGGAGCGGGTGACTGCGGCCTGGCCGCGGCCGAGGGCTCTGAGCTTGGGGTCCTCCGGGCTTTGCAGGCAGCGCAGTGGTGCAAAATGGAGCAGATTCAAGTTAAACACCAGAAAACACTTCTTTCCTGTGAGAGTGACACTGGGACAGGCTGCCCAGAGAGGCTGTGCAGTCTCCTTCTCCAGAGACATTCAAACCCCACCTGGACACGTTCCTGTGTGATGTGCTCTGGGTGACCCTGCTCTGGCAGGGGGGTTGGGCTGGGTGATCTTTCGAGGTCCCTTCCAGCCCGCAGGATTCTGTGATCCTGTGAGACACTTGTCCCGCAGAGCTCTGGCTTCCCTGCTGACACGTCCGTGCCCAGGCGTTACGCTGGGTCTGGTTGTTGGGGTACAGCAAGAGGCAGGAGGCCTCTTCCCCAGGCTGTGGGACCGAGGCCTCCTCGCAGTGAAACCTGCCGGTGCTTGCCGTGATCCAGAGATCCTTGCATGCAAAGGAGCTAGTGGGCCACGCCGGAGTTAAACAGCTGCACAGTGGCTGCAGTGTGGCCTTCGGGCCTGTGTTGTGCTGCACACACCCTTCTGTGCAGGGCAAGCCCAGCTCACCCTGCTGGAGGGGCCTGCAGGGAGCTCCCCTTCCCTACCAGCAGCCACACTGCCCGGCCTTGCCCTGCTCTAGGAAGCACAGCAAGAGATTCTCTCATGGGAACATCCTTTCTGTTTGACAGTAGAAATTATGAACGGAGTTGTTTTCATGCAAGAAAATCCTCCAGTGTCTTGAATGACCAAAACGAGGTAGGCCTCTGTAAGGACAGGGTCTGCCCGGCGTGCTGCACGTGCACTGGAGGCCTGAGCAGTGCTGTACAACTCGAGGTTCATGGCATCAAAAGTCACTTAAGATTATCTGCATTCTTCTCTCTTTGTTTCTTAGCTGGAGGTGGCACTAGGATGGTACCCAACCTATGTCTCCTGGTGCAAATCAGCATTTCCCTCAGCACAGAAAGCACGACTTCTCTCAGGAAAGCTGCCGAGGGAGCTTCAGAGAAGGAAAAGCTCTGCCAGGAGGGCAGTTGCACTCCAGTGTTTTGTCTGGGTGGTGCAGTGGGTGCATCACTGCATAAAACACCACAGTACATTTGTGTCATGGATGAGTTGCTTGTAGCTGCAATGCTGAGCAACAGAAATCGTTCCAGTTGAAGATGTTCAGTTGGCACCTCTTCATGTAAGGTAATATAACTTCAGCAACTTCTCACCCTCTTCATAAGGGCCTGACTTCATGGTCTGGATCATATAATGTTGGCAGCAACCTATAAAGCAGTTTTCACTGTGCAGAAAGAAAAAGAAAACAAAAAAGAACATCCTGAGAAGTACATCTTCACTGATGTCACTTCAAACAAGAGTCATGGCCATGCCTATGGTGTGCCCTGTCCAAGGGCATGAAGATGATAAAGGTCCTGCAAGGAATGTATGAAGCATGAAGCAAAACCCTTTTTTTGTTAAAGGAGCAAGAGTGTGTAACATGGATTGGTGGTACCTCACTATAAGGTGCTGTGCCTTGCGAGGACATTTTTTACCTCAGCACTGTCCAGGGTGGTTGCTATAAAGTGCCACAATGTCCAATTTCTGTCCATACAGTCTGCAATGCCCCCAGACATGACAGATCTCCACAAAGCCACTTTTGGGTCTGATTTCAGGTTCCCTGCTTCTTGTCCTTGGCAAAACTACTTGGCCAGAGGCCAGTGGTCCTGCCTGGCCACCTCCCTGGCCATGGCTTCCTGAACCTTCTGGTTGCAGAGATGACTACCCGGGCCAGGGGACACTTCTGCTTTGCTTCACAGGAAAAGGCTGGGGACCTTGGCACAAGCCCCCCTGTCAGCATGAGCAGGGCAGGTGGCAAAGGGTTAATAAAAAGAGAGGGTGATCGACCAACCTAGACTGTGCGTCAACCTGGGGAGCATCAGGAGCCTGGGAATCACGAGCTTCAGAGCAGATTAACCTGGCTCTGCTCCAGGATCTGAACCTAGGGGAGGAATTTGGTTTCGGTGGCCTTGGGCAGTCTGCCACAAGCCTTAAACAGAGCAGCTGGGAACTGGACTGGGAAAGCAAAAGGCATCTGCTGGATCTTGGTGCACAATCTGAGAGAGAACACATTTACTCAGACTCTTCCTAGTCCGTGTTGTTGCTGACAACTGTGCACTGTCAGTATCTGCCCTAGACCAGCCAGGAGGAAAATACCCACCTTTTATTATTTATACCTGTGTTACGGTTTGTGTCATACAGACACAGTCCATTTTACTGCATGTTGCTTGCATGAAGCTTTAAAATCTTGTGTGGTCTGTGCCAAACTCCCAGTTTCCATGTTGAAGATGATGTGAGTAAGTCTGTTCCTCTGTTTGGCTGCAAGCAGCCATCAAAAGACTTTTTCATATTTGCGTCACAACTGGCCCAACTGGAGGTCAGCCCTGCCTGTTTGTACCCTACCAGCTGTGCTCCAATACAGACAAGTTTAAAACTTTTGTTTTCTGTGACAATCCATTATAGAAGGGAAACAATGCTCACAAATCAATCACTAAAAATAATTTAGCAGAGAAGCCTGACTGAGACATAAGTGTCATGGTAAAATACCTCTTTGATTTCTAGCTGCCTTATTTATTTTTATTTATTTTTTTTACTAAGAGAATAAAGAATGAATGCCTTTGTTTTTATCAGAGCAAACAAAAAACCCAAATTATCTGTATTTCATTTTTAATAATTTAGGAAGGTTTAACCAGTGTATTTTGATGCCAAGCCTCAGAAGTGGTGTCAGGGCAACAGAATTGATGAAGAATTAATGTAAAAAGCCTGTTGTAATTTTAAAGCTTTATAAGATCCCGAAGAGGGAAGCTGATATATTTAGCAATGAATGCTAAGAAAGCAAGAATTAGTTTCTTAGAAAAACACAAAACTGAAGCAGCCCCACAGTCACAAGAGCAATGCAGTTTTTCCCCTGGAGACACAGAGAACCATTTAATTAAAACAAAAATAATAGTGCAGGGGAAGAAGTGTTATCTTAGCAAAATCTTTCTCACTGCTGAGAAGAGCTGGTCCAAGAACCAGTAAGCAATATTGATTTTGAATTCTTTGATTTTTGTTAGAAAACTTATTTTGTTTTCATTTTGGTTTGGTTTTTTTAAATGCAAATATCTGTCTTGGGTCTGATAATCATAATCTACCGTATTGTATTTCATTTTCAAGTCTTACCCACTTATTATCTGCAACATCTACTTACTATTCCTATTCAAATGTATCAAGAACCTCAGAAAACATTTTTAAACTTATTTGTAATTTGTTAGTGATACATTGAAGGCCAGCATTGCTTTATTTGGCTTAAGCAATAAGAAGAGAATATTAAGAAATAGCAAATTACGCTTAAGAAAGAATTGGAGCATGAGATTGTAGCATAGGGGAAACAAGTAAATCCTGGTTGGCACAACACTGTCTTCTCCTTTACAGAACAAGAACCCAAGACTACATTCTATATCATGGGGCAAAGCTACAAAAAGGCAGAGAGCTGCTGCACTGGAGAAAGGACTGGAAAGTAATGGAATCAATTTAGAAGGTTAAAATTCTTAGGGATTTAGGCTGCAGCTGAAGCAGAACAGGAGGTTAAAAGATGAGGACTGTTTGAGCAAAAAAGCCTGGTTTTTTTGTTTTGTTTTGTTTTTTAAGAGAAGCAAGTTGAGCAGCATTCCAGTAAGTAACAGGTTTTTTGTTTTCTGCACTAGTACTTTTATAAAATTTCTTGCAAGAAACAGCACATAGGTGATATTCCAGTCTCTGGAAACGTCTTCTCAATTGCCCTTAAATAATTTCGCTTGATGTGCATGTTAATGGAAAATGGTATCCTTCACCCTTCTTACAGTTTTTACTGCCAAACAGCAGCAGAGTTTATGACAGTTTCTTAAAACTGTCTCCAGTTGGCTAGAAAGAGATAACTGAAAGAATGCAAACCACATAACCTTGATTCACAGACCTCTGCTTCTTTTCAGCTTGTCTTGACAAGCACCCGGAGTGTCCAGGCAATTCTTTTAACCCTTGCCGTTGCTGAATAGACCTATTGCAGTGAAATTTCATGCAGTTTTAGGATACAGCATGAAACGTTAACACAAAATTTGTGCTGCAGTGGTTGGCTCTATATAAATACCAAAATGTGTAACACTTCTACTACTGATATACTGCTAAAGCAAATTGCAGAGAGGGAGCTGCTTCAAGTTAATGCAGTGCCTACGTATAAAACCCCCATGCAGAAATCACCACCCCAAGAGAGAAAAAAACCCATCAGATTTGTGTTCCAGTGAAATCAAATTATCCCATATATAACTCAAGACACTTTTCACTGTTCACCTGACATAGGATCACTTGTTAAGATGCAGTAATTATATTCTGAGTTGGTATTTCAAGGTTTAGAGCTAGATAAAAATGTGCTTCTAAGAGCAGGAGAGTTGCTCAAGAGTTGCATGATTTCATACATAGCCTCAGGCATTTACATATTGCTAGAAGAGTTTTTCCTAGAAAAACCTGCCCCAATTAAGATTTTTCACCCTAATTTACAGTGCATTTTTATGAGTTCTGAAGGAAATCAGGTTCTGGAAGCTCATGATAAGAAAATAACTTAAGTCTATATGTTGTGTATTTATATCCTCTCATCATACCTTGTGCATGCAGTCCTGTCAGGGAAGGAACTGTCAATAAGTCCATAGGATCCTGGAGCACCCAGATGAGCAGGATAGTTTGTGCAAGTCCCTATAGGATATGCCTGATAGAATTTGGAATCAAAGTTAATTATTTTTGTCATTATGTTAACAATAATGTCATTTCTCTAGCTTGAATGTGGCAATTTTTATATATGGACCTTGAAACATCCATAGTTGCATTTCCTAGAAAAACACCCAAT